ACACATATCCATGTACACATAGTCTGTGTGCTGCTCTTTTAAAATAGTATAAAGCAAGAGCAGATTAGCAAAAAGCTCAAACTTTGTTTTATGGATTTGTTTCAGCTCTGAAGGAAAAAAATCCACCTGATTTCTATATCAAAAGTAGTGCAGAGCTGAGGTGATGGACTTCCCTTCACCACAGCTTACTTGTTTTTCTAATTGCAATCTGAACTCAACTATCACCATCATCCTGCCCTGCAGATCACCATCGGCTTGGCTCAAATATCCAAACTGAAACACAAGATCTCCAAGGAAAGGCTACACAGAGGTTTGTCTGTCCTTTCCTATCTATTCATTTACATCTAAACCAGGGACTGGCAACTTGTAGCACTCCAGATGTTTTTGAACTGCAAATTCCTCTTAGCCATCCTCACTAGCTTTGCTGACTAGACCAGTGTTGGGGATAACTGTGGTCCATAACAACATCTAAAACAATTTAAGCAGCCCACTCCTGTCATAAAGAATGGATTCCCCAACTTCTCTGGCCCTATTTCATGTTGGATTAAACATTACACACGGTTGTACATAATTGAAGTCTCTGAGCCAGCCATTTTCCATCTTAACTCTATAGCTATAAAACTGTGTATCCAAGGTTCCTGCATTCACAGCTTGGATTTTTTAAAAAAGAAATCCACAAAACAAACCTTGATTTGGGGATTTTATAAGGACATAATTTTATTATACTACTTGCTGCGTTGCTGTGGCCAAACTTCCCTCCCTCTTCCTCTACTTCTTTCTTCCTCTCCTTTCTTCATCCCCCCCTTTTTTTCCTTCCTTCCTTCCTTCCTTCCTTTCCTCTTCTCTTCCTCCTCCCTTGTCTTTCCCTTCCTCTTTTTCCCCTTTCTTCCTTCTCTACCTATTCTTGGACTGCAACTCCCAGCAGTCCTCCTGATTGATTGATCTATCTACCTACCAGGCCTGTAGCCAGGATTTTGATTTGGGGGGGGGGGGGCAAACCTTTTGTATCGTTACCCCAATACCCCCATGCATATGGGATATATTGAGTATGGTGATCAGATCATGATATGAATAAACATAACAGTTTCAATAATGCACCAGTAAGGCCTTTTCGCGAACGACCATGAGAATTTCGGGGGGGGGGGGTTAAGCCCCTCAGACCCCGCCCCCCCCGGCTACATGCCTGCTACCTACCTACCTATATCTAATCTATCTACATTATCTATCTGGTGGATTTCTGGGAGTTGCAGTCCAGGAATAGGAAATTGGAAATATGCAGGGATTGGGATGCTCTCAAAAAATCCAAGGAGAAGAAAGCTTGCAGCTCGGAAGCAGTGCATTTGGATCATCTTCCTCTCCTGAAAGGCCTGGTCTAGAGGATGCTGGGAGCTGTAGTCCAGAAGAGAGTGTGCATATGCTATTGTGTGTGTTGTTTGCCAGGGAGAGTCGTTTTTGTGTATGTGCTATAGTGTCTTGTTGCTTTTTTGGTTTTTAAGTCTCTTCCACTGTGTTTTTCAGTGTTTTTATGAGTGATGGTCACTTGTTGGCCTGATAGGTGTATTGTGTCCAAATTTGGTGTCAATTTGTCAAGTGGTTTTTGAGTTATGTTAATCCCACAAACGAACATTACATTTTTATTTATATAGATTGTACATAATGGGACTTGAGCTGCACAGATTTTGATATCCATGTTGGTTCCTGGAACCATACCATAGCAGATACTAAGGACCCACTGTATGTTATTCAGCTCATTCATGCCACACAATTTCCCCTTTCTGGCTCAATATACACAGCTTCTCCTCTCCCTTTCTCTCCTCTCTCACACTCATACATACTACTATTGTGTACATGTCTAGATTTAGAATGTGAACAAAATATCAGATGACACATAAAACAAATCCCGAAGTGTCAGGTGGACATATTCTCACAGCACAACCCCATACAAAGCCTTCTATAGGACAATTGAGCTTTTGTGATATCATTGAAGTTGAACTAGTGAACTCAGCAACATCAATGCCTGGTTTGTATAGTTTCTGCTATACATCTAAAAACTTCTAGACAGATCTAAAAACAGAAAATAAAAATAACTGAAAAGAAAAGTGAATAGCATAATGAAATGATGGGAATGCATTACCAGCTCTAGTCAACGCCTTCACTGAAAGATTGGCCTTCTGTACCCCACATTAAGGCTATTAAAACAGTATCTCAAAAGGAGAGAGTGGAGAAAAATTGCTAGGGAAAATAGCTGAAAACCTAGGATTGCTGCACTTTGTTTATAGAGTCTTCTTCCTACTCCATGCTTCCAAAGGAGTCTTCAAGGGAGCAGACAAGATACAAAAAGCAGCCATGAAGCTATTAATAAAATTCAAATCAATACAGGCAGTCCCCAAATTACAGACATCTGACTCACAGATGACTCATAGTTAAGGACAGGGGTGAGACAATAGAGAGTGAAAGAAAATCTACCCCAAGAAGGGAAACTCACTCGTGTAAGAGTTATCATGAGAATAAGTGTTGCCCCTGAAGTTTAATTGTCAATCTTTGTTTCCATGAGGACACATCATTATCAAAATCGAATTCTCACAGGAACAGAAAGTAAGGTGAAATCTTCTGAACAGGGGCACAGACAACAAAACAAACATGACAGAGGTGTTAGCCCTTTGCTATGTTATCTGTTCAAAACTTTTTTAAAAAATATTTTGGCTGGAGTTACACTTAAAAATGTACCTGTTCAAAGTTACATACAAATTCAACTTAAGAACAAATCTATAGAACCTATCTTGTCAATAACTTGGGGGCTACCTGCAAAGCTATCCAAATATTACAACTATGAAACCAGGAGGACAAAGTAATCTTTAAAAAGTATTAGTGAAAACTGGAGGAACAGGTTATTGCATATACTCATATATAAATTGATCTCATTTGTAAGTTGAGGTCAAATTTTAGAGCCAAAATTATGGATTTTGATATGATCCATTGATAAGTTAAGATCATTCTATAAATAGGGAAATGTGGGGCCAGGTGCACCTTACCACCGCCATCATTTTACCACACAGACATTTAGAAAGTCCAGCCATGCTATCATGGCAAATAGAGTAGGTGGGTTGGTGTTTTCTTTAGCTAGTTCCAAGATGGTCTAAGTTCTTGTCTTTTGGTATTTCTGATTACAATTTCTAGGCATACACACACTCATATAAAGGTAAAGGTTTCCCCTTGACATTAAGTCTAGTCAAGTCCAACTCTGCGGGGAGGTGCTCATCTCGATTTCTAAGCCAAAGAGCCAGCATTGTTCATAGATGCCTCCTAGGTCATGTGGCCAGCATGACTGCATGGAGCGTTGTTACCTTCCTGCTGAAGCAGTACCTATTATTCTACTCACATTTGCATGTTTCCGAACTACTAGGTTGGGAGAAGCTGGGGCTAACAACGGATTCCACTATCCTGTGGATTCGAACCACTGACCTTCTGGTCAGTAAGTTCTGTAGCTTAACGGTTTAACCCACGGTGACACCGTGGCCCCATATACTCATATAGGGAAATTAAAATCCCCAAATTATTTCATTAGCTCTTTTAAAAGCTTACAGCACCACACTGGCAAATCCCTTTAACAAGAGAATTTCAACACTGAAATGGTTTTTGTTCCCTTGTGCTGGCTAGTTCATACGGCCATCATCTACTGCTAAGCTAGTCTTTGAACTGGGCTTGATTTTTCAGATTTCACCTCCCAGAATTCCCAGAAGACAGTTTAGTGTAAAAAAAAAAAAAGCAAATGCAGAACCAATTTTACCATGCAGTTATAAATATTAATTATGACAATTGTAGAATAAGCTATCGCATTCTGAAAGCGCTACAAATCATGCAAGGTGTTTCAAAATGATGGGCCCAATTTCACAATGGAAACAGGTTACAGTTATACAAAATTTTCCAGTTTTATAAGTTATCAGATTATCAAGTTTTAGAACCATTTTGAGCCAGAAACTAACTTAAAAAACTCAGCAAATGGAGAATTTCTCATTTGGCCTTATGCTACATGGTACTGTCTCATGAATGACTGATGCTGGAAGCTGTTTGCATTCTGGGTGTCAATTACTTGTTCATACACCTCCAGAAGAGAGGGTTGTTTATTTTTTGCTGTTGTAGACAACCCCAGAGAGAGGAAAGCTCAGAATTAGTTTACTTTCTCTTCTTCCCTTAAACTTCATGCTGCCCACTTGTTATCTACTCCAAAGTTTGAGAAGTCATAGTAAGTATGTTTTATTGGTTAGCCCACTGGCCATATAAAAGAATTGACAAACAAATACACATACAGTACAACATAAGTTAAAATAAATAAGCTGTTAACAAGGTCCCGATCCAAATCAAATATCTGCCTCACCTCTACAGTTTACCCCAATCGACCCTAAATATGCAGTTCTTAGCTGTGCTGCTTCAAATAGAAAAAGGGCCATTTTATATATTATTTTAGTATTATGATCAGCCAATAAAAATGTAGTTTTAATATATGGATCCAAGTGTGTTTTTTGTATAATGTATGACCCGGGATATTGTTTTCTCTATTGTACAAGTCACAATTAAACAGTACATGTGTGATATCTTCTACTTCTAGTGCTCCACAGACACAAAATCATTCATTATATGGAACTTGGTTAAACCTTCCATGTTTAACCATTGCATCCAGCTGTTCAAGTCAAGTTCTGGTAAATACCCTCCTGGGGTGTTTAGGCATTTCTGTCTTGAGATATTGGCCTGTTTGAAAAGTATGTTTAAAATGACTTAATCATTTCAATGAGCCAGCTTTACTTTATTTATTTTGTATCAAAAGCATTGCATAAATTAGTATAAAACCAATAAAAATAGAAGGCGCACAAGTGGCTAAATATCTTTTCACCAAAAACGGGCAACAGCAATGGCATTGTCTGTTCTTTCCTTATATTTCTCTATCAAAAAAAAAAGGAAGTAAAACATTTCCCTTAAAAATTTAAAGAAATGAGCATGCTTACCAATGGTTGTTACAGCAGAAACAGAGAAGAAGAAAGAGCCAACAAAGTCCCATCTGCCCAAAGTTGCATTTTCTTTGAGGTAAAGTCCACTCTTATAGGCTCTGATGATACCCTGAAAAGACATAAGAGGGATTATGGATAAGAATACCAATCAATTATCTCACCTTTTGGGAAGTTGCTGTTCTGGGAACAATGGTAAGAATGCAGAACAATGCAGTTCTATGTACGCTCGGAAGTAAGACACAGAGAACGCAAAGAAAGTTCTGAATAAACACGAATAAGATTATAAATCAGATGGCATTTTTTGTCTAACTGACACAACATGACATGAATGTAAGCCTTTAAGTCTCTTTAAACAACTTGGTGACATTGGTGAGAACTAATACTACCATGTCCAGCTGAGAAGGTATCCACTGATGATAATAATAATAATCTTTATTTATAACTCAGCTTGGGGTAGCTGAGTTATATCCTGACTTAGTTTAAGAGGATGAAGGAAGTACTTTAGACCTACAGACAGAGAAAAGCAGTTTTTAAGATCTATGAATCCAGGAATTTTTGAGCACTTTGATTTCACTTTAAGTGCTGTGGCTGAATCCTATAGGCTCCTGGGATTTATTGTCTAAGGAAGCATTAGAACTCCCTGGCAAATAATACCTATGCATCCACCGCCAAAACACTGCACTTGGAAGGCCATGATAACTCAAGCAACAAGGGATCACCTAAGTATTCTTGAGAATTACATGATTGTTGTTTTTGTATTGGAATAGGTACTAGGAACCCTTTCCCATGGCCTAATTATAGCACTCTGATTCCACTTTAACTGCCATAGATGCATCCTATGGAATTTTGAATTTTGTAAATTGGTTGGAGGCACTAGAGCAGTGGTTCTGAACCTATGGGTCCGCAGATGTTTTGGCCTTCAACACCCAGAAATCCTAACAGTTGGTAAACTGGCTGGGATTTCTGGGAGTTGTAGGCCAAACCACCTGAGGACCCACAGGTTGAGAACCACTGCACTAGAGAAACACTCTGTCTTGGAATCCTAACTTTTTCTCTCTAAACCTGTTTGGGAGCTCAACTTGACTCCTTTTTGATAAGCAGGCTGTCTTGATGGTTCAGATTCCTTCCTATCCACCCTTCTTGGACTGGAGAGAATTTAAAGCATAGGTGGAAACTGTGCAGCATGCAAGTTATACAGAGCAAACAAAATTAATAATAATAATAATAATAATAATAATAATAATAATGCCAGTACATCACAGTCCTAGACACTTGGGAAGTGTCCAACGTGTGATCCAATACAACAGTTAGCATAGTGATCTTCTTTGCTGTGTACTCATCATCATCATCTGTACCCCACCCCCTCTCCCCAAAACGGACTTGGGGCGGCAAAATTTCCAAGTTCAGTCCCGCCGTTAGTCCCAGCTTCTGCCAACCTAGCAGTTTGAAAACATGCAAATATGAGTAGAATAATAGGTACCGCTTCAAGCGGGAAGGTAACTGCGCTCCATGCAGTCATGCTGGCCACATGACCTAGGAGGCGTCTAGGTCAACACTGGCTCTTAGGCTTAGAAATGGAGATGAGCACCATCCTCAGAGTCAGACACAACTAGACTTAATGTCAAGGGGAAACCTTTACCTAACCCATTTCCCAGGTCTGCTTTACTTTTAGACCCTTTAACTAAAACCAAGAATGACTATGAGGATTGCCAAGTGGAATGTAGAGGATGTGATCTCTAAACTCTCAGCAGCTATTCCACTCTATACTAGTGCAAATATGTCTTCAATAGACAAAACCAATTGTCCTTTGCTCAAATGATTCAGACACAAATAACATTGCTTAGATTTTACTTTCAGTTGATTAATCCTCATTCAGAGGGTTTCTGACCCCAGTTTTTAAGCATAGTTTGTGATTCATCAGTGTAAAATGAAAGAGGAAGAATTGGGTATCGTAAATGTACTGATGATATCTCTTCCCTAGTGTTTGGGTAACCAGGGATTCTTAAACATATTATAAGTGTAATACATACATAAAATGTTTGATTTCCTATAAGTAGTAAAGCTTTGTCTGCACAGAAATTGAAGAACCTTTAGTTTTCTCAGTTATTTATAAAATTATGAGGCACTATGTTGTTCAAGTTATTCCTGCTGCCAAAGGATAAACAGATATAACAATTTAGTAGCTCTCTCCCTCTTCCCCCCACCCCTCTCTATATATAAATGAGCAATAAAAGTTATGAAGCTGAATGAGATTAGGATTGTATCGAATGAATTAGTTCTTCACACAATGCACGATTAAACTATGAAATTCTGTTCTACAGTGATTAACTTGGCATCTTAAAAAGGCTTTAAACTGACAGCAATTAATTTGACTAAACTAAAAGCAGATTAGATAAGACTATCAGTGGCTACTAGTCAAGACTCAAGTTATCATAAACAGTAAGATGCTGAACACCAGGCCTGAAAACTGCTATTAACTATCAAACTACTGTGAACAAATTAGAAATATGGGAAACTTTGCTACAGTAAATGTAAAATAGAGTATTTCCTCTCCTTCTGTAGTTTTTTTGACATTCCTGTAGGTGGCAGCTTGATTCTCTATCTCAGTGTTTCTCAACCTTCCTAATGCTGCAACCCCTTAATACAGCTCCTCATGTTGTGGTGCTCCCCAACCATAACATTATTTTCATTGCTACAATTTTGCTACTGTTCTGAATCATAATGTAAATATCTGTTATGCAGAATGTATTTTTATTCATTTGACAAAATTTGGCACAAATACCCAATACACTCAAATTTGAATACTGGTGGGGGGTGGGGTTGCGGGTTGGGCTTGATTTTGTCATTTGGGAGTTGTAGTTCCTGGGATTTATAGTTCACCTACAATCAGAGAGCATTCTGAACTCCACCAACGATGGAACAGAACCAAACTTGGCACACAGAACTCCCATGACCAATAGAAAATACTGGAAGGGTTTGGTGGGAACTGACCTTGAGTTTTGGAGTTGTAGTTCAACCTGCACCCAGAGAGCACTATGGACTCAAACAATGATGGATCTGGACCAATATACTCAATATCCCCAAATGTGATCACTAGTGGACTTTGGGGGAAATAGACCTTGACATTTGGGAGTTGTAGTTGTTGGGATTTATAGTTCACCTACAATCAAAGAGCATTCTGAACTCCACCAACAATAGAATTGGGCCAAACTTCCCACACAGAAAGCTCATGACCAACAGAAAATACTGTGTTTTATGATGGTCTTTGGTGACTCCTCTGACACCCCCTCAAGACCTCCCCCCCCCCCGGGGTCCAGACCCACAGATTGAGAAATGCTGCTCTTTTTGCTTGCAATCACTCTCAGCTGTATTCACATTTTATCTTTCAAAAGATGCAATCCCATGCAAAAAACGTAAAAGTTCCCTCAGCAAAGACTTATTTATGAGACAGGAAGTACAGGATGAATTTGCATTTCTCTATACTAATACCAATCATTACATGAAAGAGTAATGAGTTGTGAGTAGACAAGGTGAAGGTAGATGTTTTGCAGTTCAATCGAACCTTGTCCCTTTCAAATGAAGGCTCCAAATTCTTAGGTTATTGACTCAGATAAGGAACAACACATAGTACAAGTGAAAAGTAATCTTAAATTGCCTCTTTGGGTACATAGGTGAAAGATAATCAGTCTTAAGTGGTTCTTTATCAGAGAGATTGTACCTCAGTAAACTTTACTTTCCACACTGATCATGGGAAAAAATTGAACTTGTGAGATAAACAAGTCTCACCCAGATGCATCCTTGATCTTCTAAACAAGGCTGAAGGTGTGACAGTTTCTCAACATGTTTTTCTTGTTGTTGTTGTTGTGTGTCTTTAAATCATTTTTGAATTATAGTTTGCCTTTGTCTTCCTCTGAACCTGAGAGAGTGTAACTTGGCCAAGGTCATCCAATGGGTTTCCATGGCCAAGCAGGATTCTGCACTCTGTCTCCGTTCTGCTTTAGGAGTGTCAAACACGCTATTCCATCTGACTATTAGGGGATATAGCTGCAGCCCCACTCCTTGGAGCTCAGCTAACAAGAAAACTCAAATGGGGTGTTTTGCATGGATTTTTAGAAGAGCAATTTTGAGGGTGAGACCTCAATGCCTACTTAAACCACTGAATATTAATGGTGTGGGAGCTGCTGCTATCACCTGTATCAACAGTGAGATGTTTTCTTGTCGGAGGATATAGGTAGGTATACCACCAGCAAGCGAAAGTTGGTGGCCCTGCTGGAAGAGAAAGTTCAGCAACTTGTGACCTGTCTTAGGTATCCTGAAGTTTTGGTTAGAATGGAGCACATCAACTTAAATGAGGAACACACAGGTAACGTCTCTGAGAAGGTCAGTTTCAAACACAAGGGGCAAACAGTTGGATAAATGTGTCACAAAGAAGTGGAAGGACCAAAGATCATTCTGAGAGTTTGGAGCTACAAAATCAGTTCCAAAAGCTCTCTTTATCAGCAATGACAAGGAACAGGAACAAGTTGACAGATTCTAAAGCAGATCATTAAGCTGTCAATCTGTAAGCACTTAGAAAGTAATGCCATGATCACTAAAAGTTAATTGATTTCTCAAACACAAGTCATGCCAGAATAATCTTAGCCCTTTTTTTATCAAGTTACAAAGGGAGCCATGGTGGTGCAATGGATTAAACCCTTGCGCCGACTGAACTGCTGATCTGAAGGTTGATGGCTTGAATCCGTGAGACAGGTGAGCCCCGTCTGTCAGCCCCAGCTTCTCATACAAGGACATGAGAGAAGCCTCCCATAGGATAACACATCTAGACATCCTCTGGGCAACGTCTTTGTAGACGACCAATTCTCTCACACCAGAAGCGATTTGCATTATGTTCTCAAGTCACTTGTGACATGATAAAAAAAAATCAAGTGACAAGCTTGACAGACAAATGGGTTGCTGTAGATGTAGCATAACTTAATTTCAATAAGGCCTTCAACAAGGTTCTCCATGATATTCTTGCAAACAATCTAATAAAATATTAGACATGCCAGTCTCAGGTGGATTTCTAACTGGTTGACTGGCCAAACCAATGAGGCTCCTCTTTATCTTGGA